AGCGCAAATTACTGCACGCAAAATTGGATCTTGATAAATCCGGCCCTATATGTTTTAACCATTCATATTAGAGGTTGTGGTCTTTCTTTTTTAAAGCTTAAATGTTCTGTCCCACCTGTTAAATCTTTGTGTTTAAAAGCATCCACCTTGTTAAGGTGAACACCACACAGTCCAGTTACCATTTTACTTCCCAGCCTCTGTATAAAAATATAAAAAGGTTTTTATCTTGGGGTCAATTCAGATGCACAAATGCATGTGCTCTCACAAAAATAACAGTTTTATGTTCAAAGAAATTCATGGTGTTGCTGTAGTTGTTACTAGAAATAACAAATGTACAGTATGTGGATAAGTGCCCTGATCTGGCTTTAATAATCGTAACATGATTAATGTGGACACTTCACATTTGTTTCTTCTGTCGCATGATTTGACTGATTTAACTTTTTAAAGTGCCTTAAATGACATGTGCTATAAATAAAGTAATCTGAAATATACAGGATTTGTCATATTTGTTCAACTTTCTATCTCTGAAGAGCAGTTATCCTGTTGTGGATGCTGGTTCCTAATAATATGTGTCAAAAGAAATGATTAGCAACCAGCAAAAAAACAAAACAAACACTTAAAACGTAAATGCAGTGCCCCCAGAAAGTATTTACAGCTATGCGCTTGTTAAAATTTAGATATATTATTCCTACCTTTTTAAAAGAACCGTTAAAATAATCTTTATCCTCAAAATCCTACACACAATATCCCAATAATGCAATGTCATTCTTTTCCATAGCTTTCGCTGTAGGTATGCTGTGATAAACTAAAGCCGCTGGAAGACATAGGGAACACTTGTCATCATTCTGATTAATTAATCTCTATTAATCTCTATTAAACAATTCTGCAGGAATTGTTAGATTAACCCCCAACTATGTGTAATGTTCCACTCACGGTGGTTGCACCTCAGAGCTTTCTTTCCCAGTTCTTTGCCTGGAGGCTACCATTTTTTTTTTTTACCTCACTTGGAATAACTTTTAAAAGAAGAAAAAAAAAAGAAAAGCAAAAAAGCTGAACTTGAGGTTTAATGACAAATTGAATCTTATCCAGATGGAAAAGATTATTCAGATTACAGAACTTGGCTCCTGTTACTGTTATAGATAATAAGGAATATAGAATGAGACTTGAATAACGTTAAAAGCAGCTTCTTACAGATCAGCAGGGACTGTGAGAGCATAAAATACACACATTGTTTGTAGGATATATTTATCGCAAAAGCTAACTAAAAGCTTATCTATCACATCTGTGACATACACGTTAGTGAATGATGTGTTCATTCATGTCCCAAGTAACTGTCTTCAATAGCTTCATATCATATCTAAAACTACCATCAACAACTTTGAGCTAGGCATGTTTTTTAGTTTCTAGATCTGTTTCTCTCCTGTTTCTTTTTTTTTTTTACTTTTTTCACTGTGACTAATTGTATGTTCTCTTGTTCAACCCTTTTGTATCAAAACTGGCTCAGAGCTCAACTGGTAAACAGTTTCTTCCATGTAAAAAGGGAGTTACTCCTCTGCACTGTCACTACACGCATACATCATGTGAGGGATTGCTGTAGAGCCAATGACACAGTAAACGTAAATCTACTGTCAGCACAAGTTCATCCCAAAAGAGCGAGACCTGTAAAGACAATGGCCCAATGCAATCAGCTGGTTTTCCTTGGATAGAAACCTTTAAACCAATCTGACTGAAGGATGTAATGAAAATTGGTGCTATATAAATTAACAGAATTTACAATTGAACTGTTATGAACAGAACAAACAATTTACTTTTTAAGACTCTTTATTTAAAGAAAAACTGCAGCAGGTCGTAGGGTTATCGTCAGCGTGTCTGGCAGAACCCTCTGGAAGCACAGCAACAGCTGAGGGACCAAACCAACTGTAGCAGAAAGAGTAGTAATGGTCACTGACCTTCTCACAGTCTGAGGTTGGGTGGGAACAGTGAGTGCTGGCTCCAGCTGGTTGACAGGCACGCCAACAATCCCCGCTCTGATCAGGGGAATCCTTAGATGGTCTCCAGCTCGTACTCATTGGTCAGGGGACAGACAGGGTATCAGAACAGTGATGACTGAATAACGATGACTGGTTAGAGGTCCAGGAGGAATTTCCAAAATCCATAGTCAAGATTAGGTCCACGATTAGAGCTGGATGATCCAAAGTCCAGAGAGATCCCAGAGGGAAATCCTTTGCATAGTCAGGGTCTGGTTTACAGATCAGACAGGGATCCGGCTGGCTCAGATAATCGGGAGAGAGAACAGGTCAAGCAAACTAGCAGGCAAGACTCAAGTATAAAGACTCAAGTATAAAGAGACAGTACAGGTCAGGCAAAATAGGCAGCCGGAAGTCAGGAACAGCCCGCAGGAATAAATCTCACCAATTGCTCGAAATAATGTGGCACTGATTGCTTGTCTGAACGCTGCTTATATACTTATAGGTGCAGGTGTATAAGATCAGTGGTAATGAAAATGAGGCAGAGCTCAGCAGGTGTGTCTTGTGAGGAATCAAACCTGCATCAGCACCGAGATCATGACAGAAGGACATGAGGGTATGTCTGGGATGTACAGACAGTTCTTCAAGCAGGTCTCAGGGACATGTTATTTACTTTCCTAACCTCCCTCCCTCTCCA